GTGAGAATAAAATCACAAGACTTAATAGTTTTTTGTTTTTATTATTATTATGATTATGATTATTATTCCTCTCATTTACAACTAAAGATATTTATGAGTTAGTTTACTCTGGTTGCCTAAGGTGCAAATCTAGGGACTGTCAGAGCTTGTACAATGTTGTGTGGGCTGTTCCCAATAAAGTAGTGTCTTGCACTTCCCAAGTCTTTTAAATGACCTGGAAGTTTTGCCAAATTCTTACTCAAATTGTATATTATTATAACTACTACTACTATTATTAGTAGTAGTACACAATAATGTTACAACAAGTACAAAACGTTATCATGTAATGTGTATATGTGTTGTACTTAATTTTTATGTATTGTCAACTAAGAGTAATAACTACTGCTACTAACAGTCATTTGGGGTACAGGGGAGATGTACATTTTTTGTTCTTCAGTCACACCTTTTTCTAGAATATTTTATTCTTTAAAAGATTTTAATAGTATAAATTATCATGATTTACCTTGAAAGCCTAGTAATTTTGAGTAGTAAATGTGAAACACTGGAATCTAGTATTAGTGATTATTCCCAAGACAGCATTTGTCTTCACAAGTTACCAGCATTAAACAAACTCTAAACTCTATTTTTTTTTATAAAGAAGTGTTTTATTATTTTAGTATTATCTCTTATTCCTTTTCAACAACAAAAAAAAAGTTAAAGTTCTGTGATATTTCAAGGGGGGGGGAGAGCTTTATATTGTTTAGGAACAAATGAAGGGAGGATCTCAGCAATTTGCTCAATGAATCATCTGAAACGTGATATGGATAACCCAGAAGCTTATTACATTACTGTGTTATTTGTTCAAATACATATATATTCTAATGTACTGTAAACATGCTTATTATCAGAACTAGTAACAAATTAATTTCAAGAGCAACCTATTAATTTAATGTAGCTATATTTCTTAACTGCTATGATGGTCCTTTGCTTTTGTTTTGCAATGAAAATCAGTTACGTAGTTATTAAGAAAACTTAAGTATAGGGAAGTTTAAGGCTGTAGAATTTTGAGATAAATAAAACTGTAAACGAGTTTCTTGAAAAATCTGAGACATATATTCTACACATAAAATAAGGTGGTGTTTTTTGTTGTTTTTTTTTAGTCCAGCACATGGGGGTGTTTCAATCCATGGGTGAACAAATTAATAATTTTGTGGAATCTATATCATTTTAGCCTCTACAAAAAGTTGGATGAGAGCTTATGTTATAGTTGGAAATACATGTAATGAATATAACCATATAGAATGATGACAGTAACAGTAGTATGTTAAGACGGAGAAAATTATATTTATGCAATGTTACTACACACATACTTAACTCCAGTGATTTTGTGGTAATGTTGAATTGTAACAGTGTTCTTGATTTGTAAAACCCATGAACCATAATAATAATAATAATAATAATATAATAATAATGTCTTTATTAATGGCGAGGCTCAAGCCATAGGGCCTGCTCTTCCGCCTAACCACTGAATTTACATACATTTAGAATAGTAACATTTTAAGAGGGGATGACAAGCTGTACATTTACGTCTGGGAGAACAAACCTAGGGACCATCCCGGCATACGCCTTAAGCGATTGAGTAAACCCAGAAAAACCTCAATCAGGATGGCAGCTTAGGGCCGAACATTAATAGTACTGAGTAAGTTGTACATAGTAGTGAAAGGGAAGTTTCGTAAAAGAGAAAAGAAGAGACGTTCAGGGGAAGGGGTCTAAAATTAAAAATGATAAAATTTGTGAGGAAGAGGGAAGAGAAAAGAAGCGAAGAAAAGGACGAAGAAGAAAACCATGGTGGATTTATATTATTGTAATTTTCACAATGATTCGTATGTGAAATTAATAGTAGTTAACCATAACTGATGTACTGCATTGCTACAGACAACTTGTTATTTTGTCTAAATTATTTATAAAATATTGACCAGAGTAAAACAAATTTGGAGCAGAATCACAGTCTACAAGAAGAGAGTACTATGTGTGTTCACATGGAGGCTTCGCCCCCTCTGGAAACTGAAACCATACCCTTGGGCAATATAACTCCCCCCCTGTAAATATGATCAATCTCCGATTTTCTCCTATTTTAACTTTACAATTTGGAGTTATGGTATAAGATATTTGGGGAAGAGGCGCTTCAACCCACCTGACAAAACTAAAAATGGTTCAAATCTATTGGAAAGACCTGATTCCTTCACGCATAAACGGGTTAAAAAATCAGTTGTACAAATTGTAACAGTAAAACCATAATTTAATCCTCTTTGAAGTAGCTTTTATTTATTTACTAGTAAATGTTAAAATATTTTAAATACAGGAAAAGGCCAGAAATATAGTTTTGCCCTCTAGTTTTATGCAGTGTATGCTTAGGAGGTGTATAGGGCTATAAATGTATAAATATATACGATAATCTGAAAGACTATTGCCTGTATAGAAAGAGAGAATACTATTAGACGTTGTGGAGAATTCAATAAATTAAAGGAAACCTTAATATTAGTCTTACGAATTGCAATTTGCAAAAAAAAATGCCTTTAATTTTATTTTCTTGGTCAAGAAATATAAATTATTTATCTAACCATTGCAAAAGAACTCAAATTTTACACTGTGAAATAACTGCAAATAATTGCTGCGAGATATGACGCTATTCACTTGATTTATAACTAGTAATGTATTTAATAGCGTATATACTAGTACATAGCAATCTTCCTGTAGAAAAGTGTTGTAACTCAAAAAAATTAATTTTGAATTACATACATTATTTAAAGTAAAATTTTATCTTCTTGCGTTCTAGAATAGTGTCATTTCTTTTTAGGCCTATTTTAGTCGAGTATTGGTGTTTGTACTTCACAAACATGATTTGATAAGGTAATTTCAAACCTTTAAAGCCCTATTCTGAAAAATCACCTTTTTGAGTTACGACACTTTTCTATTGGAGGTACAGTATGTCTGAATGCTTCACAATTTTTGTGGTTGGAAAAGTTGGAAACCATCAGTCTTCACCACTGCTGCTGAGAATAATGAAAGTAAATGTTGACAACCTCGTGCACATTTTACAAAATATAATGTAATATTAAATTATAATATGAATAATTTAATATATTATACAATACAAAGATATATATAAACTCAGCTTGGTGGAAATAATCCCTATAAGTTTTTAATGCAGCATAAAATTTGAAGAAAACTCAGATCTGGACAAAATAACTCCAAAAACACTGTAATTTGTCTCATTCTGAAGTCGAGTAGAATATTGTTTGTATTGTTACATTGTAAAACACATATTATGTGAAATGCCTGAAGTGACCTTTCACATGGCACCCACTAGAGTAAAACAAGACAAAGAACAAAAATAATACATTAGTGATATTATTACTGCAGTTTAATAGGCACAAAAATCTGTAGAAAGAGGCAGGCAAGATAGGAATTAAAATGTTTCTTATACTTATTTATGTACTTGTTTAGCAAGTTTCTGAAGGTAACATAATATAGTTATATTCACAGATATTTGCTTTCATTATTATTCTTACAAATCCTTTCTATCATTGTCAGGTGAATTTGGACAAAAAGGCCGAATCGCAGTAGCTACCTTTTAGCTTTTCATTAAATGCAGCATATATGGTTGTTTTTCTCATCTTTGATTAAAACATAATTGAATACGTATGGTTTTCTTCAGTTGCCATGCGTATGCAAATGTGACTAACGATGCTACAATGACACACTTTTTCACATTATTGCTTTATCATGCGCAATTTTCAAAAAGGCAGAATGTTCAACGAAAATGAGATTGCTCCATTCTTTAAAGTGTCCCTAGTTCTATCCGTAGAAAATGAAGGAAATTGTTGTGGTTTTTGAGAATTATTTTTGTAATTTGAAGTAATTTCAAGCAGAAATTATGTAAAAAAAGCACTATTTTCAAAATTTATAAATTATCTTTATAAATCTGATTTTTAGAACAGATTTCATTTAAAACAAAAATCACCGTATTCAATATACTTTTGCAATGTTAACCTTTTTTTTCCAATTTTCAAAAGATAGAAAGTTCGCCAAAAAATGGGACTAGCAGCAGTTTTTATACTGCCTTTTAACACATACGAGGAGAAAATTTTAAGAAAATATTGGAGCCTCTTTAGAGGGGAAAAAATGGTTTAAAAATGTGTAGTAAAAAGTAACTACCACCAGTGATTTTGCATGTACGAAATACCAGCACTATAGTTGCAATAAAACTGAACATACATTTATTGATAGTTGTTCGGTTTCTCTATACTTTGCAAGATAAAAATGAAAACACATACATTTTTTTAAAATTTTTTATTAAGGATTGTTTCATTTTGATCAATAAACACGAGAATTCGCAACATTTGGGCATCTGAACACAAGATTTATTCGTGAAATAGACATTTACACATACTATAAAATTCGCATGTAATGCTTCAAAGAAATAAGCAACACAAAAGAAAAGGCGTTTTTCATTTAAGGAAAAAACAAAAATTGGCCAAAATCCGCAGCTTAATTATTACGTTTATTTTCGACTAAGGTTTATGAATCTAGAAAGTGGAATTTCTATTAGTAATAAGTGAAAAGTGTAATACAGCAGACGTTCATTTAATTGGAATTATTGTACGGACACCAATTTGTGAGGATTAAAGAAAGGTAAAGTGAAAGAGCGCCTGAAGGCAATGCTGTCCGATACATTTAAAACTCGTGTTTTAATGAGAAATCAAGGAGCTTCTATTTCGTTGTAAACGCATTTATCTAATACGAAATGTTCACCGTCTCTACCCTACATTTGCGTTAGAAGCCTTATATGGCTTTTGGATGCGAAGTGTCGTCTGTGACACAATATTCATGGAGTGAAAACGATATTAATACACATGCTACACGGAGCTCCTAGTTGTTTTTAAGAAAGGATGATCACGCAGGGGTAGCAGGTTGGTAGACGTGCTAGACTTGCGACGTCACACTCACAGAGCGAGCCGAACAGTAGTGTTGAGTGAGGTGTTCTTTGAACACGTTCTTACGGAATTGATTATTGAAGAAGCGAATGAAGGTAGTTCGGTTTTGATCAAGTTTTATCAGAAGTGGAAGATGGAAACGAAGACGAGTAAACCTCCTAAAGAAAAACGGAGGTAAGATTTTTAACATTTCTCACATTAAGATGTAGGTCAATCTTTATAGCCTAATGTGTTATTGTGTCATGTGTAGGTATACACATTTGTATTTTTGCAGAGCGTTTTTGTTTATGTAAAAGGTGGCGTTCGTTCTTTTTTTAAATTAGTGTTTTTATATGTGGAGTGTTTGTTATAGTGGTGGTGGGGATGGTGTAAATCTGATTTTGTGAGCACCATATCATGATCCTGTTGTGATTTGTACTGATGCTTTTAAGATTTCGACTATTTTATGTTCGCTATAGAGGGGTGTGCAATGTTTAAACATCAATAGATTTATGTTGTAGGCAGGAGTGTACACAAACTGTACGTAAATGGCAGTAATGATGTCTTGCAAATATACAAACACGCTGGGTAATTTTCAGGAAAACCCAACATATTTATTTTGTCGGAATTCAAAAATTAATTTAAAAAAATATTACATGAAGTTGTCGAAATTGATATGTGTTGGTAATATTTTCATTACATCCGTGGATATTATTTTTAAGTAGGAATCTCGGAGCAAATGATCAGTTTGTGTTCTTGCTGTCCAGAACGTTCCTGACCAAGATAGGTAATATAATTTTCGCCTCTGGAATATTTGGTTTTAAGATCAAGGATCCTGAAAACTGTGGTTACTTTATCGTTTAAATTTGTACGAAACAAATTAGCATTTGTGAATGGTTCAATTTTTGCCAAGATTATATGTTGAATGGGTATTTAAATTCATGTTTTTCGGGTTTCTTTGGATGAATGTTTAACACAAATATCTTGACAGTCGAGCTTGTTGTTTAGAGAACTAAAAAAGAAGTAAAGTAGTTGTGTTGTCGAGCTCTTCAGTTAAAACATTTGCGAGGGGTCGTGGGAGCGTGGTGTTGTGTTCGAATCTCGGCGGGAGTCGATGTGCGTGGGCAGAGCGTACGACGCAGAGTTCCACCCACGGCCCGCCGCTTGCGGGCTTGGGGGCGGTGCCGCTGTTGTCCCTCCCCACCCCCACCCCCGCGACCGCGACCGCTATCATTGCTGACGCTACAACCACCACCATATCACTCCCACATCACCTTCGTCCCACCATCATACCTCTACCATCAGCCCGTATTTGACAGCGCCACCACCTTCACACCTTCAATCACCTCAACCGTTGTCACCACCTCCACCCCACCCCCATGTGTCCACGTGTGCTCCCTTGGCCAGAAGTAGGCCTCTGGCAGGATTCCATAGGTCTATCTGCTCGCGCCTCGCTATTCTGGCGAACGGTTCTTGGGCGCTCTAGGCGGCGTGGAACGCCTCTGCCAGGAAGTGGAAATTGGAGGCAAATTATCCAGAAACTCTCCTGAAAAGGGAGGTTTTCTAATCTTCTAACGGCGCCACTGTTAGTCCAGTTCTAAATATGTCTATTGGGTTACAGTTTTTTATGGCTAAGTTACAACAAAAATTAGTTCGTATATAATTACTTCCCTCGGTGATTGCTGGTCAAGTGGGCACCATTAATTTTGTCCAAACGTTTTGTGATGTTTTTTCTTACAAGATGTGTAGTGATCTGGATTTTTGTATTTTGCTGTGTGAGACACATTCTGTTAACTTTTGTTGTTGCTATCTGAAGTTTTGTAACACAATTATATAAGCTTTGATTGCGACAGGAACATTCATTCTGTTAATTCCAGCCCGTGGATTAATGACACGTTAATAATTATCAACAATATCAATCATTGTAGTTTTATTAATTTTTGTTGCGTTATTGTCTATCAAACCGTGCGACTGTTCATTAAGTTTGGGAGGAAAATATGCAAAATTGGGGTCCACCTGCGGTATGTGGATCAAACAAAAGTAGACGGAGTCAATGTAGGTGTTTAATAAATGGGAGTCATTCGAATAAAATACTAAATATAATTTTGTACAATTTGTTTCTGTAAAATCTCGTGCAAACAAGAACAAATTTACGTGCCTAATTTTAATTCAGTGTGAAGTTTATTTATAGCTTGTTTTTTGCATCAGAATATAGTTTCTAATAATATAAAATATGGATGCAGCAGGAACCGTTTTGTTTTAGAATGCAATGTAAGTGTTGTAAAGCAGGGTACATGTAATTTAATGCGTTTTTTTCTCCTCCCCCTTTCACTATTGCTGTTTGGAACCCTAGACAAATTTAGCGCTAATGCGTGGCTCTAATTGAACGGAAAGCTAAGACACAGTAAATGTATCACGTTAGTAAATTGAACTAGTGTTGTGCCCTTTTGATAAGCTTTGTTTCAGTAATACTGTTCTTACGACACTCTTTGAGACTTTCTTGATGTTCTTACGAACATCCTTTTCTCTTTCTAATGTTTTCGGTGCTCAGGCTCGTCAATGCAAATGCAAGAAATGCGAAAATCGTAAAGGCGACTTTGCGTCCATATTTCTCTCGTAGTTCAGGCCGTAAATTATTAAATAATTTACTCACTAACACAGACGATTATATATTCTCCCGCAAATTCACGGGGTGGTGGGAGGGACGACGATGTCGAGGCTCGTCCCTCCCCACAAAGTTTGATGTTCCTTGCCGGAAAACGTTTATTTGTCCTTAAGATGCAATTAATCCATATTAGGTGCCTTATTTGTGTTTTATACTCTTAGAAACGTCAAAATTCAAATCCAGAAAATTGGGCAAGAAAAGATTCCCGTAATCATTCTTGGGATTAATTCAATCGTGTTCCTTATGCAAAGATGGCAATTGTTTCACTCTTCTGTTTTTCGTTTCGTAGCCTCCTGCTGTTTTGAATGCCCCCTCTCTCCTCTGAAGAAATTTGCCAAATCGCACTTTTACTTGAATTTCTCAGAGTTCTAGTATTGGGTAGTCGAAAAAAGTTCGGTAGTTTGTAGAATTCAAATATTAAGTTATCAAAATTTACATTCTGTTGTCTGATCTATTTTAAGAATGATTCTACAAATATCATTTTCTGCCTAGATCTTTGGTTTCTATTTTGTTTTCTGTTGAAATGTAAGTGCAGAACCATAATTTCTGTTTTTAGAAGGAAGCTATTTAAAACTCCACGCATTCTGTCCATGATTCAGTCTTGAAAATGTTTAATCCTATAATTATTGAAACTGCCCAAGTTAACCGTTCGTACTGTAAATGGTTAGGGCATAAAAATCCCTGGAATGTTGTTTGTAATATGCTATTGTTTGTGTGAATTCAGAATTGGTATTAATCGTCTTTTCATTGCATGGAAGTTCACCTTCAAATGACCTTGGAAACTTCATAGGTGTAATAACAAACTTGTATTACCATACAGAAAGATGTTACTTTCTCCAGTACTTAATATTCCATATACCGTCTCCGAATTGTTTAATGTTGTATGTTGAAAACTTTAAGAAAGCCAAAGATTTAGTAAATAAACTTCATTTTCGGACCAGGACGGATCATTACAAAGTAGATTAGTTCTCTCGAGAAAAACAACAAACACTTTAATCGGCCTAAACTTTTCCCAATAAATTGTTTTTTTGTCTTTTCCTGTAAAGTCAATTTGAATTGGTATAAGCTGGTATGTATTTTAAGCATATCGTGTATTTTTGTCACTGTCTCAGTCTTCGTGTCTGTGGTTCCATCCGTATCTCTCTTTCCTCTCTTCAACAATCTGCCCCTTGTCTCACTTTTGTTGCATCTCGGACTCTTTTCCTCCTTTCCGTTATGTGAGATGGATTAGCGTGAAATTCTAGAAATATGATAATTCAAGGTATTAAATAATCTTCCTAATAATGTGTTGTTGTAATTACCGAAAAAAGAAGAAAAAAACTGGAATCTGTTCGTTAAAAAAATCTCTCAGGATATTTCGAGACCCAGACATATTCACACTACTTGTGTCAATTTTGATACGTCTCTAGTAGAAAATATGATGTACAACACAATTTGCGAAGTTAATTGTATTTGTATCTCAGAAGATGAGACAATGAAGGGAAATATTACGTGCTGTAGTCGGCATAAATCCATTTTTTATCAGTGGGTAAGTAACATGCAACATTTATGGCAGTGATGTGGTACCGCTAACCAAAAAATGTTCACTTCTATCATACCGTTTACAACAAGGTGTGAGTTAGTTGTGTGGAAAATGAATTTATTATAGTTCTTAGATAAAAGAATTTACAGCAATGAAGCAAATATTTAGTACCAATATCAGAACTTTAATCGTTTTCATAGATAAAATAGTGTATTTGCCCATTTGCGTAATATTTGTAAGGCGGAGGGACGTTTTGCCGTCAGTCTATTTTTCTGTAGCAAGGGCCCCACAACTCCTCGAGTCTGCCTTCAAAACATGTTAGAGGAAATAATTTACTACATATAGAAACGAGATTTATCCACCTCTTCGTTACCGGTGCCCAGCAAGTAGTTTTTCTGCCGAAATTTCGCAGTTTTCCGGTGCACAATTACAACACTTTCTCTTATTAGGATGAAAGGCAAGAAAGTAAAAACGAGTAAACGAAGAAAACGCGGGGAATTGAAAGAAAAGTAAATTATTGTATGCATGGAAAAGGCAGAGCAATGACTTTGTATTTAAAAGATGCTGATATTTTATCAAATTACTCTATAGTTTTAATTTATTTAATATTTGATACTAACGTTTTTTTTTAACTTTCAATCCTCGGATGCACACTAAAAGTTTGTTATTTTACTGGATAACGGTTTTATCCTGAGCAGGAGCGTTTATTCGTTTTAAGACTTTCCTGGTTTGCTCTTTATACAGGTTGTTTTGTGATCAGTCTTTATGAAATTTCTACCAGTGAACATGGATTGTTTTCTCAACATTCTCCTTCACTTGAACGGTCATTTTTGTGCAGCGACGATTTGTTATTGATAGTGTGATTTACATTACGCGGATTACGGTTATGGAACTACAGATATCGTCTCACTATTACGGCTCTAGAGTTAAAGAAAAAACTATGACTGGCAATTTATTGAGCTGAACTGGCAAAACAGTTCACATTAGATGTTAAATTGTTTTAGAAAC